ACCATAAACTCAACTTTCATTTGGTATTTCCGATATCTTAAACATTGGAATAAAAATGAATGCGAATAGAGGTATCATTGCAGACGGTTCAGATTACAGCTCAAATGTAGCAGTGCAATGTTCAGCAATAGCGGCAAATACCCTTTTGAAAAAAAAACATCTCGTATATAGAGCCGATGTTAACTTCTAAGACTTCTTCAACATTGCAGGTTAAAGCACCGCGAAAACGTGCGTTCTTTCCTAGTTTCCAGAATGGTGCAAGATAGACTACCGAATTTCTGGTAAAGAATCATGATGGAATAAATTCCTCAACGACATACTAAAAACTGAACTTATCCGTGGTATTCGACATCGAGTAGCGGCAGAATTTTCATAAATCTAACCACTATGGTGAACTAAACATTGTACTTGAACGAGAATTGCATCAACTGCATAAAGTGCGCTATAGAATTTGAATTCGCAATGTCCTACCGTTCCTGGATGTCTTGGTAAAAACCGGTATGAGCAACTAAACACCAAATTTGTAATGAATACTCCCTTTCTTTGGATAAGGTGCAGCAAATAATATATGTAAGCATCACTTCTCGACCAGATGGGCATGCAACCATCACTCGACTGCAAATGCTTAATAATTTGTTACTGCGCCACACACTGACCTGACTCTTTCCTTCTTAATCTGCCTTGATGCAGCCTTACAGTCGTTGGCGAAACCTGCAAACAATTTAAAAATTTACCACTGCAGTTTAATCTTTGGGTGTTAAAACCATGCGCAAAGAAATTATTCTAACGATAAATGAATAACTCCGTCGCTGAGAGTCCCAAGCCCAGATGAGAAAAGAGGAGGGTTGGAGACGATGGCAAGTCCCCGTAAAACTTAGCCACCTGTCACTCATGGTAGTGACGCCATCGAAAATCATACCGGCTAGGTTGTCGCCCAGGATACCAAGGGCCGCACAGGCTGTTGGGGGACCGAGACAGAGCGAGAAAGTCGGCAATCAGAACCTGCTCATTGCCCTCTGCCAGCCGGGGGCATGGCAGCACAACGACGGCTGACGAAGACCGAGGCAACGACGACGAAGATACCAGTCAGCAACGGAGTCGC